CTTCTCCCTCTCCCGCTCCCCCTGCTTGTGTTCCCTCTCTCGCTGTGTCTCTCTCTGTCAAATAAATAAATAAAATCTTTAAAAAAAAAAAAAGAACATAGTCTACAGAATAGGAAGTACAAATGGCCGGAGAAGCGTAAAGAGAGGTTCCATCTGGGTTTTGTGTTACGTCCTTAGAGCAGTGCCGGACACACAGGGGCCACTCGATATTATTTGCTGAATAAATGAATACATTTCGCTCATAATTAAAGAAATGCCAAATAAAACAAGGTACAATTTTTTACCCATTAGGCTGGCAAAGATGGAAAAGATGGATAGTCAACTTGAACAGACAACAGACATTTCTCTAAAGATGATACACAAATGGCCAGTAAGCGTATGGAAAGACGCTCAGTGATGCTGTACTGCAAATCAACCACAACGAGGTATTTATTACCTTACACACATTAGGATGGCTACTACCCACCCCCACCAAATAATGAGCATTGGTGCGGATATGGAGAAATTAAAACCCTTCTGCACTGCTTGTAGGGACATAAAGTGGTGCGGCTACTACGGAAACCAGTATGGTCACTCCTCAAAAAATGGAAAATAGAATTATCATATGATCCAGCAATCCTGCTTCTGGGTATATGCCCAAAAGAGCTGAAAGCAGGATTTCAAAGAAATATGTGCATGCCCATGTCGACAGTAGCATTATTCATAATAACCAAGACATGAAAGCAACTCAAACGTTCGCTGATGGAAGAACAGATAAACAAAATGTGACATACACATACAATGGAATACTATTCAGCTTTAAAAAGGACGGACATCCTGTCACATGCTTCAACATGGATGAGTCTGAAGGACGTCATGCTAGGTGAAATGAGCCAGCCACAAGAAGACAAGTACTGTATGATTCCACTTATATGAGTTACACAGAGAAGTCAAATTCAAAGACAAAAAATAGACTGGTGGGGGACACCTGGGTGGCTCAGTCGTTAAGCGTCTGCCTTCGGCTCGGGTCATGATCCCAGGGTCCTGGGATCGAGCCCCGCATCAGGCTCCCTGCTCAGCGGGGAGTCTGCTTCTCCCGCTCCCACCTGCCCTGCCTGTGTTCCCTCTCTTGCTGTGTCTCTCTCTGTCAAATAAATAAATAAAATCTTAAAAAAAAAAAAAATAGACTGGTGGTTGTGGGGGTGAGGAAGGATAAATGGGGAGCTGTTGTTTAATGGGTACAGAGTTTCTGTTTTGCGAGAGGAAAATGTCTGGAGGTTGGCTGCACAACACTGTGAATGTACATAACATTCCTGAACTGTACATTGAAAAATGGTAAAGATGATAAATTTTATATGTTTCTTACAAGTTTTAAAATGGGTATATTCTGGGGTGAGGAACAGACACTCTGACGATACTGGTGGGAGCCAAAAATGTTATCTATAGTGAATAATTTTACAATATCTACCTTAATTTTAAATATGCAAACAATCCTACCCAGTTGTTTTACTTCTAGGAACATATCCTACAGATACCCTTTTAGAAATACTCAAAGATATATGTAACAAGAACGCTCACTGTGGTGTTGCTTCGTAACAGTGAAAAGGTAGACACAGTCTAAATGTCCCTCAATAAGAAACTGGTTAGGTAAATAATAGGAGAGCAATAAGAAGGTATACAATACAGCCATTGAAAAGAATATATATCTTTATATACTAATAGGAAAAAATGTCCAAGATGTTAAGTTTTGCTTTTAAGGTAGAAATTATTTAGTGCAGCATGCTTTCACTTGTGTGAAGAGTAAGTATGTGTATACGATATATGCTTGCATTTACACAGGAAACTTCTGGAAGGGTGCTAAAGAAACACTTAGTAGGTACCTCTGGGGATTAGGATTGGGGGAGGATGTGAAGGAGAGGGAAACTTATATTTTTCATTTTATATGTTTCTATATTATTTGAGTTTTTTGCAACAAATGTGTATTACTTTCATATAAAAATTAATTTGGTGGGGTGCCTGGCTGGCTCAATCGGAAGAGAATGCGAATCTTTTTTTTTTTTTTTAAGATTTTATTTATTTATTTGACAGAGAGAGACATAGTGAGAGCAGGAACAAGCAGGGGGAGTGGGAGAGGGAGAAGCAGGCTTCCCGCTGAGCAAGGAGCCAGATGCGGGGCTTGATCCCAGGACCCTGGGATCATGACCTGAGCCAAAGGCAGATGCTTAATGACTGAGCCACCCAGGCGCCCGAGAATGCGAATCTTGATCTCAGGATTGTGGGTTTGAGCCACACTGGCTGTAGAGACTACTTAAAAATATTTTTTTTTTTTTGAGATTACTTAAAAATCTTAAAAAAAATTAATTTGGAAGAATAAGTGAGCAAGTGGGCAAGCAAATAAGTATTTTCCAATAGCTTTACACTGCCCCTAGGACAAAATCTAAATGAGAAAGTAAGGTCTTTCGTGATGTGGTTCCTACTTCAACCTCCGGCCCCATCCCTCACCACCACATCTCACACTCAGCTATGTTCCAGTCTCACCCAACTTCCCCTTCCTCAAACAGGACAAACTTTCTCTTGCCTCCCAACTTTGCCAAACAGTGCTGCTTTTGCTCAGGTCCCAGCTCAGACGTCTCTTCCTCCAGGAAGCCTTCCCTGGTGTGCCCCCCAAGCCTACGCCACCCCCAGGCTCAGTTAGGCAGCACTAAGATGCATTCAACCCAGTCTCTGGACTCCTCTACCCTGCGTCTTTCACGTGGTCTCACAGTGGCTTGTAAACACATCTGCCTCTCCCACTGAAGTTCAACCACACAGTGGCCATGCCGTCATGGGTCACTGTCCCATCCCCAGCAGCAAGGACGGGGTCTGACACACAGACGGTATTCAGCAATTATTTGCCAGATTGGACTTGTAGAAATAAAACCACATCGTAGACAGCTGAGGAGCACAGAAGGGGGAAGGTGGAATTAGGATCCTTCCATCCAAACACAACCACACTGTTCCCTCAAGAGTTATGTTCCTGGGCATGTTTTCTCATAGCTGCATTCCCAAGCTAGACATTTTGACAAGGCCCTTGGGACACAATCATTTTGGTTGGAGAACATTTTGCTGCACCCTTTCAAAACATGAGGCTTTTATAAGCCGAAGTGAAGATTACTGTTTTTATAATCAAGTAATGTGTACAGCAGACCACAGGCATCCCAGACCCTTTCTCACCACTAACCTACCTCTCATCCCCTGAGGACTTTCGCTTTGTACTTAGTAATTAGTTTACAGCCTAGTGGCTTATTTTTAAAACTTACTGTTATACCCCCAAAATTATCATTGTAAAGAAGTATCAGAACATTAATGTAGGGGCGCCTGGGTGGCTCAGATGGTTGGGCGTCTGCCTTCGGCTCAGGTCATGATCCCGGGGTCCTGGGATCGAGCCCCGCATCGGGCTCCCTGCTCAGTGGGAAGCCTGCTTCTCCCTCTCCCTCTCCCTCTGTCTCCCCCCTGCTCATGCTCTCTCTCCGTATCTCTGTGTCTCAAATGAATAAATAAAATCTTTAAAAAAAAAAAAAAAAGAACATTAATGTAATGTTTGTATTACTGAAGAAATTGTTAAGAATTTCACTAAGGACACCCCTAACAGTGGTGAGGTGAGAGAGGGTAAGAGATCACACTGATGCCCGCATATCCCTTCCTGCCTCCCTACTGAGGGTCTACCCAGAGAAGGTTGAGTTGGAAGAGAAAGCCACATAAGATAAAGTGAATCCTCAGAGCCCTGCCTCATCCCTCACTACCCCCAGCCCAAGATTAGAGGTTGGCAAGGCGGATGAGACCCAGGCATGGGATTAGGTTCTATGTTTTGCTCACTGTTAGGTTTTCTCTTTTTTCTTTTTTTTTTTTTAAGCTCCACGGAAAGAAAAAGTAGTCACAGAGTGGCACCTGTCAGAAAGGCCCTGGAGACAAACCAGCTACGTTCTAGCACCTACGTAGAAACTTCATATGCTCCTGTAATCGCCGGGGCATACGATTTGTAGCTCCTTTTAAGTTTTTTGCTCAATGCTTCCTCAGGTAGCTGCAGAGCCTTTACATTCAAAATTTTACACTGTACTAAGCAGATGTATGATATTTCAATGATTTGCAATGAAAAATAATCCTGCAACATTATCAGGCCTAAAGTTTTCTTTTTATACCCTGGAACAGTTTCTCAGGATAAAGTACCATAAGTAGAATTCATCAAAGAGTAAGAATACCTTAGGGGCGCCTGGGTGGCTCAGTCGGTTGAGCGTCCCACTCTTGATTTCAGCTCAGGTCATGATCTCGGGGTCACAAGATCAAACCAGTCGGGCTCTATGCTGGGCGAGGAGCCTACTTGGGATTCTCTCTCTCCCTCTGCCCCTCCGCCCATTCATGCACGCTCGCTCTAAAATAAACAAATAAATCTTAAAAAAAAAAACTATCTCAATACTCTTCACACTAAATATCTTCACTCTTCATCCCTACACTGCTTTCAGAAAGATGTACACCAGTTGACAATAACTGTAAGAATGCATACAAGAGCAAATTTCATCACCCCTTCACCAACACTGAGTATTAACTCAAAAATTTTTTCCTGATTTAATGAGCAAAACGCTAAATTGTCACTTGGATAATAATTAACCTTTATTGGCATCTACAGTGTTCCAGGTACAGTACCAGGCACTTCATATCCATCATCCCATGGAAGCATCGCCAACAGCCCTGTGAAATGGTACTATTATTATCCTCATCTTATGTTCCTGAATGTGAAGCTCATGAAGGGTGGAGGAGGCTTTGAATCCAAGCTGCCTAAATCCTGTGCCCATACACTAAGGGCTACCAAACTCTACCAAGAGCTAACCACTCTTGCCTCTGATGTCTCATTACTGTTGTAATCCATGTGTCATGGCTTATAGCGACGACAAACGTATTCCCAAAGATTTCTTTGCTGGGTGAACTTCCTAGTTCCTGACTTTTCTACCCATGGCAAATACTAACAAGTCCAAAGGCTCAGAGATAGCTTGAGAGCTGCCATTTCAGAGCCATGGTTCTGACAATGAGCAAGACAGGGTTTATAGTAAAAGCAGATCAGAATCAAGAAAAGAACGTCCACAGTAACTGCAGAGACAAGTCTTGGGGACTTCACAGCCTGTCTTTCCCCAATGGCTGGGATGGTGAGCTCCCCAGGCTTAAAGGCCAGGTGCAGAGCAGACAGAACCAAAGAGGACGGTCGAGTGCCTGATCCTGTGAGCAGCTTCTGGAGTTTTTACAGAACTATTCCCACTTCAAGGGTGAGCGCAGCTAGTACCAGCCCTAATGATGTCATGGGGCTAACAAATGAAGAAATCAGGAAGTGATTTCTTTTTTCTTCAAGAAATACGCTGGTTGAATTTCCTCAACAGGTTTCAACTTCTGCATTCAGAGAAAATAGTTCTGTTCTAGTAATTCAACAAAAGAACAACAAAAACAACCAAAAAAAAACCTGCCAGAAGGATAGCTAGTAGTTACTAGCGTGGACTCCAGAATCAAAGAGCCCAGACTTGAAATCTGGTTCTAGTCTGGCTGTGTGATCTAAGGAAGTTGCTAAATCCTTCTTAGCCTCCATTGTATCCCCCATAAATAGAGGCAGTAACTACTTACCTCTGGGAGCACCAGGAAAATTACATAATGTGTACAAAGCACTGAACCATAGTGCCTGGTGCCGATTCAGGACATTTCCACCAACAGTGGGAGTGGAAAAAGCAGCAGTAGCACTTATACTAAGAGTGGTAACCTTGTCTGGAAGGAAGGAAGGAAAGAAGGAAGGGAGGGAGGAAATTTCCTTTTCCATTGCATTCAGAAACAAAGTGCAAATGTGTTGGTCAAATGGTATGAAGCGGTTGAAAATCTCCACACGAAGTAAGCAGATTTTGATTCTAGCACCAGCTACTTACTATGCTAGCTGAGTAACATTAAACTAATTACCTAATTTTTCTTGCTTTCAATTTTCTGACCTATAAAGTGAGAGTATTACATCAAAAGAGCTACAGGGTCTATTCTGGTTCTAAGAATTCTGATTCATCTGCCAGGACAAGTAGTCCTGGAAAGATCTCTGTTCCAAATTAGAGCTGTCCATTATTGGCAGAAGCCCAAGCGAGGCTGTTTTGCTTCCCATAAATGTTTCCCCTTTAATATTCTCTCTGCTTTGTTTTGAGTTACATTTTAACTTACAAGCTGCTTCAAACCTTTTAAATGATAGCCCTAACTTAATTAATTCTAAATTAACGCCCAAAACTACTTAGAGACTGAACAGGCACAGACTAGTTGAAAGCATCTCTTGGGCAATTTCATGAATGACAAGATGGCTGATGAGAGATACCGAGTAGACGTAACACAATCTCTAATTCAACATCAGGTACCCGAGCTCTTGAGGCCACAGGCAACCATGGTCTCAAGAGTGGAGGACGAATCACAGCCTGTGTGGCCATGTCTGCTCTTGTGGACAGCCCCCCACTGACTCTAACCTTTTGGACCCCCACTGGCCTGCTCCTTCCTTTGCTAACCGATCCCCTTCCTCCACCCTGGCTTTAGCGTCACAGGGCTGGCCTCTCCTGACCACGTTCCAGGGTGAAAATCCTAGTTCGGGGGCGGGGGGGGTAAGACTAACCTAAGGAGAGATTTCCTCAATAGTCAGGCATGGACTGAAAGTAGGATTAAAGTAGCAAAAAGACGTCTCAGGTGGCTGAGGGAGTGAACAAACAGAGCATAGCATAATCTAAAAGGAGCCAAGCAAAGTTCACACTGAACTGCACATCTGAGGGCCCCCGGTGACCAGAAAGAGGCATCTATCCAGGCTGAGAAAAAGGAAGAAGACACTCTTCCTAACTGACAACGAGTTGGTTTTGTGTGTGTCTATTTGTTTAATGTGCAAAATACGAGCAAAAGCCTAGGAAAGATAAATCTGGGTTTGAATCCTGACTCTGTCACTGAACTTTTGTGTGACCTTGGGCACATGACTGTTAAAGTAGCAGTGAAGGGGGGGTAACAATACTTGTGTCGGAGGGCTGATGTGAGGACAACAGGAGGCAGGGACTCTGACTGTACTCTTCTCCCTGATTACTGTCTATGGGGAGGGGTTTTCCCCGGCACCCCAGCAAACCAGCGTAAAAGCAGGTGGTTACCACGGCGACAACCCCCCCCTTCCCCGCCCCCAGAGGCTGCAGGAGAAACCAGGGCGGGGGGCATAGCGCTTTCTGCAGTCACATCCCCGAGAGGCTGGGGGTACAGACGGAGAAGGGCCTAGGCGTTCGTTAGCGAGCTGTTGTCCAGGCAGCCAGTTTCCATGCCCGGGGAGTTCCTTGAGGCACAGACTGTTGCCTTTGAACAGGGAAACCACTTCGGTATCTGGCATCAAGGCCTGTGTAGAATCTTCCACAGATGTTATCGTGACTCCTGGAAAACGTCCAAAGTAATCATAAACAAGTAAAAGCTTCATTTTAAAGTTTAAAGTATGAAAACTGGCTGTTTCATAACAGAGGGACCGATTCTGACTCCCAACTATTGTGAAACTGCAGGGAATGGGGACAAAACTTTGGCGGGTTCCACAGCCAAAAAAATGTGAGAACTTGAAAGTTCAGTTAGAGACGGCCACAGCTCTCCACACAGTGCTTCTCCCTCCCTTTTATGACTTGGCAGTCCAAGGATGGACTGGGAAAGAGAGGGAGGAGGGCTGCTTCACATTAATATGACTTCAACTTCAGCTTCACATTAATATGACTTGAACTTCACGGGAAGTCAAAGGGCGAGGGAATCCGGGGACCTGGGCTGGGTCCTGGCGCTGGCTCTGCCGCCCCCCAGGCCTGTCCTCCCTCTGGGCATTTCCCTCTGCATCTCCCAGAAGCTGCACAGGATCAGGGCATCAATCGACACACAGCCCGGCTGACCCAGGACAGGCAGGAAGACTTTCAGTCAAAGTGTTTTCATCTAGTCAGTGAAGAATGAGTAGGATGTAACCAGCCATCTGGAATAGAATAAGCTTTTATATAAATAGCTAAAGCTTCAGTCTCTGGCCCTAGAGAGGGTAACTGCAATGAAAGAGAGGATGGGGCGCCTGGGGGGCACAGTCCGTTGGGTGGCCAACTCTTAGTTTCCGCTCGGGTTGTGATTTCGGGGTTGTGGGGTCAAGCTCCGCACCGGGCTCCGTGCTTAGCAAGGAGTCTGCTTGGGATTCTCTCTCCCTCTCCCTTTGTCCCTCCCCCTGCATGCTCTCTCTCTCAAATAAATAAATAAAAAGAAAGAAAGAAAGAAAGAAAGAAAGAAAGAAAGGGAAAGAAAGAAAGAAAAGAAAGAGAGAAAGAAAGAAAGAAAAAGAGAGAAGGAAAGAAAGAAAGGACAGTGGTGTCAGCCATCTGTTGAGTCAAGCTGGAAGGCCGGGAGGTCCAGCTGCCAGTACTTTGCTCAACAGGGGGAGAGTCTGTAGCAGGAGCTCTACGGCATTTATTGAGCAATAACTATGTGCTGGGCGTGGTTCTAAGGATAGACATGCATTAACTAATTTATGCCTCACACCAACTTTCTAGTAGGTCCTAAGGAGCAACCACATCTCAGATGAGTGGGCTGAGGCATGGAGAGGTTAAGGATTGTGTCGAAGGCCCAATGCTGGTTAGTGCGGAGACCGGTAAACAGGTTCCCTGGTGTGACTCCTGACCCCATGCTGAAACACTGAAGCACAGCATGAAAACTGGGTTTACTTTGACGCACTGGGGGGCAGGTCGTAGAGACTCATGGAAGAGATTTCCCGAAGCTGTGTTTTCAGAGCAAGGACCGGTGTGGTGTCAAAGGTCTGTGAGGGACCTGTGTGGTTGAGCTCCCGAGTGGCTGACAGGACAGTTCTTGGCTGAGATTTCCCCACAAACTAACACTGAAACCGAAACACAGGTGATGTCAAGGTGCTTCCATGATTCAGACTCAAACTGGACCTGCGTGGCGGGCAGGCAGCCTGTGGGTGCTGCTGCGCCTGTTCCCCACGGCTGCGACACCCAGTCCCGTGAGGATCTGCGGGGCCGCGCCTGACATTATGTCACGTGCTGTGGAAGAGCCTCTCGGGCTCTGACCATGAGTTGTGTGCCCGGTTTCTGGGGCGGCCTGTGCAGTTCACCCCACAGGGGATGTCTGAGGTATTCATCAGCTGCCCTGTTCACGCTGCGTAGCTGCCGGGAGGGTGGGGTGAGCTGAAAGCAAACTGCCCGCAGAGAAGACAACGTATGCCTGACCATTTGGAGCCAAGCCCATAAATTCCAGAACTCTTTTGAAATTTCTGATTATGTGGCCAAAGTCTGGGAAATGTTTGGGTCTACTTGACTCTAAGAAAACACATTCTCTTTCAAGAATCTGCTAAAACCGAGCAGAGAGCCACCGTCAGTGACGCAGACCAAAAGCCAGGATTTAGAGCTGTCCCAACTGAAAGAATATCCCACAAAGTTCTAGCACTCAGTAAATATTTGTTGAATGAATAATCTGTATTCTCACTGACTTGACCAATCACTAACACTGGACTTCTAACTATATGAATAAAGGAAGATTCCAAAAACATTATCAAAAGACAAATGCTACTGTGGGAGAAACTCTGTATAACACATTCAAAGAACTCCTGCAAATTGAAAAGAAAAGAGAGAGAGAGAGAAAGAAGAGAGAAGTGGGCAAAGCTTATGGACAGGAAATTGCCAGAAGAAGAAATGTGAATGGCCAATAAATACGTGAACAAAATATCAACCTTGGACCCGCAATCAAGAAAAGACATATGGGGGCGTCTGGGTGGCTCAGTTGGTTAAGCGACTGCCTTCGGCTCAGGTCATGATCCTGGAGTCCCGGGATCGAGTCCCACGTCAGGCTCCCTGCTCAGCAGGGAGTCTGCCTCTCTCTCTGACCCTCCCCCCTCTCATGCTCTCTATCTCATTCTCTCTCTCAAATAAATAAATAAAATCTTTAAAAAATAAATAAATAAATAAATAAATAAAAAAGAAAAGACATATGAAAATCACATAGCCACAATCTCACACAGTCCTTCTACCCAAGAGATAGAATCACTGCCCACATTTCATAACTGAACTTAAGCCTGAAGAGGTTTTAACTCAAATGATAGTTGACAGAGTCTAATAACTCTAATAACAAAGTCTATGTTTGTTCCAACATGCTGCCCTATCCGAATATTTGTGTCACAACTCGGATCCTGTTAGTCAAGTCACTTAACCTAAGACTTGGTTTCCTCACTGGCAAAATGGGAATCACAGAAGGACCAACACCCAAGGGTATGGGGAGGGTTGGATGAGATAACGTGCACACAGTGCGTGGGGACAGGGCTGCCATGTGGCACATCTGCAATGACCTGATGCGTGCACCCAACAGATATTCAATGAACCCAGACCCTGGCCGGGCGCCGTTCCAGGCTTTGGAAAACAAGGCAGTGAACCGAAGTGCCCTTGCCCGCAGGGAGCTTGCGTTCTAATGCAGTGTAATGAGGACCCAGAATATAAACAAGATAGAGTAACAGAAACATACAGTATGGCCAGAGAAGGCTGTCCTGGCAGAGAGATCCTAGGGAGGGCTCAAGGAGCACAGAAAACGGGGAGCGTGGCTGGAGTGGAGCAAGCGAGGCCGGAGCTAGACAGATGTGTCCTGGGAAAGAGTGGAGAGGGAATCGGGCCCTTCCCGGGCATTACTGCACTTCGCACTCTGGCTCTACAAGAAGTGAGAGAAGAAGCCATCGGAGAGTCTGAAAAGACAAGTGACATGGTCTGGCTCCTATTTTAAACAGGTCACTCAGATGGCAGTGTTGAGGCTAACTGGAAGGGACAAGGACAGGAGCCAGGAGGGCGGTCTGGAGGCTCTCTGCAAGAATCTGGGGCAGAGATGACGGGGGCTCGGACCGAGGTACTCAGAGTCTGGACAGATTTTTAATGTAGCACCAAGAATGTGCTGAAGGCTCAGATGTGGGACGGGGTACGGGGGGGGGGGCGCGGTTTGGGCCTGACTGACTGAAGAATGGAGTTGCCATTTGCTGAGATAAGTGTCCAGAACAGAGGCTTCCTGACTGCAGGCACCGCAGAACAATGAGAGATCTGGGGCACTCTGGAATCCCGTCAGAGAGGCAAAATCAGGAAAGTGCATCGGTCACTGTGTTTCAGGGCAGGACTTCAGTTCCTGGGAGGGAAGCTGATAAAAAACAAGGCACTGGGATATGAGCAGGTTACCATGGGATTCTGGCACCCAGGAGCCAGACAAGAGTCCAGTTATCAGAGCTGAGGCACAAGGCCAACGTAGTGACTTGAAGCCAAATTACAGAGTTTGAGGCGGCCTCAGTCCCTCGGCCTCAGATAGAGCTGGGTCCTAGAGACGGGCGATAGGCTGGCTAGTCAGGGGTCAAGTGGCCCCGGAGTCTGGGAAAGAAGGCTACCACAGAAGCCAGAAACCAGACAGAACTGACTCCATGCGCACCCACAGCCACATCATTGGGTGACATCGGTATATTACAGACTGATTCTAGGCCTTTAACATGGGCAGGCCACGAGGCCAGTCACTCTGTGAGAGGTCCAGGTGTGCAAAAACCCCACCCCACGAGGAGGCCCCATTTTGCATGTGTCCGAGATCCTCATGGGGAGAAGAGTCGGGGTGCTAGTTTTCGGGGGGCCAGACAGGAGGCATCCGTAGCTACCACCACTTCCCTGTCACTGAAAGGACAGAAAGCAACCTCAAGGAGCAACAGCTCAGACAAAGGGGTGAGGGGGATGGCTGTTCTGCTCAGAAGCACAAGGTTAAGCAGATTAACGTGCGATTGGCCCAAGCGAGGTCTCTTCTGCTACGCTTATTCTCAGACTCCTAGACACTGATGAAATACTCTCTTTCCTAGCTGGAGGACAAGACACTCCCACCAAAATACAGAGAACTCTGTTTTAAAATTAAAGCAAGTAAGGGCACAATATCTATTAGCAGCTCATTGTCTGATGATTTCATCTGTGTACTTATTTTCCTATTTTCTTATAAAGATACATATTAACCATCTCATGATTTATTATGAAGAGAATTTCTTCAGTCGGCACTAAAAATGAAATTGCACTTATTTTCCAGAAATGACAGGTTCACACAGACTACCAAGCAATTAGAAACCAGGAGACTTTTGCAAATCTTCACTCTTGTTAATATGTAAACATCTGTACAAACTCCTGGTTTGCTCTGGGGTCACATTTCTCGGACACAGATATTCTCTGCATATTTGTACGCCATAAATTAACAGCCATTTCAGTTTTCATAGAAGTTCTCCATATTAAAAAAATAAGTACAGTCTGACAGCCATGTATGAGAGCCACTCCAGAGGCGGCCCAGCAGCCCTCGTCACCCACAACCAGCGGACCTGACTGTACACACAGCAGCTGCGAGGCCCATGTGATTAATTCTGT